GCTAGGGTATGGGATAGACTAGTATACGTCTAACTTTCCTATGTTACCTCTTTTCTTCTCTCCTTTATATAATCCAAAGACCCTAGGTAATTAGATGAGCAAGTATAGCTTAAGTAGAGCCAGAATAGAAGTCTTTTCTAACCCTAACCCCTTCCCCTTCCTCTACCTTCACTTTCTTTTACCCTTCCCCTTCCTCTACCTCTACCTCTACCTCTACCTCTACCTCTACCTTCACTTTCTTTCACCCTTCTCTCTCTATCTTTATACACTCAAATCTAGACTTCAGAATCCTAACCCTGACCCACATCTCTATATCTGCTCTTCTACACCTATATATCCTCTCCACCTTGCTCCTTACTCATCCTTATTCTACATCTTATCTAAACATCCATACTAATTCGCACATCACATTGCCCCTAACCACTACATTCTCCCCTCCTCTACTCCACTCCTCTTCTTCGAGAAAGAACTCTGCCAACGTCTCCATCCTGCTATCCCCATCCTCTTCTCTACCCCCTCTCTCTTCCTTCTTCCGCCTTCTGATCTCTATAAACCGCTCGTTGCTTTCTACCCATGCCCTTACCTCCGCCGGTCCGCAGAACAGCAAACAAATCGCTACCCTTAACACTAGCCCCGGCCATTAACACTCTCCTTCGAAAATCCCATCGAAATCTCGCACCCATGCCTTTCTCCTCGCCTGCCAGCTCCATCCCTCGCATATTTGTATCGGCAGACCGCAACCCTAGCACCCGTTGTTCCCCTTCCTCATCTGTCTGTCCGGCGATACACCATCAAGACATAACAACTAAAGCTTTACGTCCCTTAATACCTCCTCGCTATATAAATCACACTTCTTCTAGTTATGTTCTCGCTCTACTCTTCCTTCATCTGCCTTGCAGATCGGACAGCAACTAACCCATTCTTTTAGCTTCTCTTCGAACCTATATACCTTCTTAAGCCCGGTTGTCTTCTTTAACTGCCGCACCCGCACCTGTAACTCCTTCTGCACTCTCTCCTCTTCACTCTCTTCTCCTTTTTCTTCTCCTTCCCTGCTACTATCTTCACCTTCACTATCTGCTGCATTGCTAACCCTGTAGCCTACCTCTACTACCTCGTCCTCGGAGTCTGTAATCCGTTCTTCTTGTCTTGAAATCGCCTGTCCTCTTACAATCGAACTCACTACTAGCTTAATTAGTGTCGCCATTGCATTGCTAACAACTTCGTCCTAGATCCGTCGTTAATGTCGCTGACCGAGCCATGTTATGTACGCCGGCCAATCTTCTTCTATGCCAGTATATCTAGCTCGCTATAAGATTGTCATTCCGTTCTGCATCCTTATGACTCCACGGAGAAGCGGTATCGCTACGTTCGGCCATTAACACGGTCTCTCTCCATCCTGTCTAGTGTTATAGAGCCTTTAACTAATGCCGCACTTGTAACAACTGTAACTGCTCTTCTCGTACCGGATCGCTTATCGGAACTTATTACATTCGTTTTCGCTAAGCCCGTGTCCGCTTTTATCATGCTGTCGAATTATGTAGTCTTACGCACTATAAGTCTATAGATCGTTATTGTCTTCATTTCCTCGGCCTTATGTTACTGCGAGCAGCCAGCATAAAGCGTAGCCATCGGCAAGATCGTCTAGAGTCTTCTCCACTACCTAACGCTCTTTACTGTTCTTCTTATGTAAGCGTTCTAGAGCCTCTACTCCTTTACCGTAGCGATCGCACTATGCCATGTCTCTAGTACCACACTCGATGATTTTTCCATCTAGATACTTGCTTATAACCTGTCTTCTACACTCACGCGTCGTCATAAACTCGGCCATGATCTCTTTATCTAGTCTACGGATCCGGCCAGCTTGTCTTATACTTTCGACCTTACCTTATTCGACGATGATGATGGAATCCACTTCTTCGCCGGCCCGGCCTGCCCTACCGGACTCTTAAGCGTAATCGATCATTCCGTACGGCAGATCTATATGTAAGATGAAAACAATTCCGAGGAAGTCGACTCCAGTACTAAGCGTAGATGTAGCTACGATAAATCCTCCCGTCTCCATCCATACGGCGAGCTTGTCTTCGTTGTCGATCGAACCTCCGTGATAGTAAGCATAACCGAGCTCTTTTGCCATATCTTTACACCGATTAATGCTGCGACAGTAAATAACGCCCTTATTACGTCTGATATGTTTCTACATACGTTTGCAAGTGCCGATTATCGTCTCTTCGAGTTTGCCTCGCTAGCAGATCTCTATAATATAGCGTGTTCGCAGCCGGGTCGTTATAGCACGAATATAGCGAGTGACTGCCTAATAAGCCATGCTGACTTCTAATTCGAACGCCAGCATCGGGGGTAGCGTTGCAGTAAGCATGATAAGCGGCACTCGCAAGCCTCGTATAGAGCGTATAGCCACAAGTTTCGGTCGCCAGTCGCTTACGGTGAACGTCAAATGACATTCATCTACGAACACGCGCCGGAGTAAACCTTTGTCCTTTAGAAGCTCTGCATAGCTTAAGAAACCACCGCCGATGATCTTGTCTACACTAATGAAGACTAGTGTTGCCGGATCCGTAAGTCCCGGGTGCCACTCTATGCTGTTAATACTAGCTTCCTTTGCTATGTTAACTAGTTTGTTAATTAAAGCTCGGAACGGGACTATAACTATAGTTACCCCTACGTTCTCGAGACATGCCGGTGCCATAAACAGAAGACTCTTACCCCCTCTAGTCGGAAGAACGATAATAAGCGGTGTTGCCTGATCGTCGTAGAGTATCGATTGCATTGCCTTATGCTGTGCCTTGGACCTATATAAGACTTCGTCTCTAGTTCCCAGTCTTAGAGCCTGTTATATTGCTCTTTATACCTGACTTTCGCTCGGGTTCGATATGTCACTCGGCAATGCCGGTGTTATTGTTCTTCTCCCTTCGGTACTACTAATAGACTGTGTGACCTAACTATGCTGCCCAAAGAACCACTATCCCTATTGCACATCTGCTTAACTGTGCTCCTGCTATTGTTGCTGCTACTGTCTTAGAGCGTCGTAAAATTGAGCTAAAGCCGGGGTCCAGTTGATAATGCGACCTCTACTGTCGTCTCTTACTACCGGGTCTCTTATAGTAGATCGGGCGTTCTCTTAACTGTTATACGTAGACGCTTCCCTTACGTGCTTCTATACTTTGCTGCCGCTAAAACTGTCGAGACCGAGAAAGTTATGCCACTTCTCGCTAAGCGGCCGGAATATGTTAATCGATCGATCGTTTATATACTTAACAACATCGACTAAGACGCTGTATCGATTCCCTCCTATCTTGCCGCTACGGCCGGCAGACATCTTAAGCGGGTTATTAGTGTCCACTTCGGGTGCTTCCACCTTACTAATCTCGTCTACGTAGCCGTGCGCAAATTGTTCGCTAACTGTAACACGGCCGATCGCGATAGCTAAGTGCCTATAGTCGTACGTTGTTAGCCTAACCTTTAGTCGCTTCTATGTCTTACGAGCGATGATCTGTATTAAGCGATCGGTTTCCTAAGTGCCGTTCTGATCGCCCTAGATGTACTCGGTCTAGCTACTACCTCTACTTATAACAGAGAGAAACTCCTACAGCGGCTGTACGTAAGTAAGATATACGACTAGTAGCTAAGCCACTCGGTACGGAAGAAAACGCGGTATAATCTTCGGTTTATCCTATTATAACTACGACTTATAATATCTTATAACCATAGCGACCTATCCATGAATAATGTAGACGTTACGGTCCTATATAAAGCCATTCTTAAATCGAACACTTATAATCTCGGTTCCTTATGCCGGTTAACCCGCGGTAATGTACACGTATAGTAGTAGTAGCTCCTAGAATTCGTCTACGTGTCGAAGCCATCGTCGTATATGTCTAAGCTGCTAGTGTCCTATTCGACTACGTAGCTTTCGTCCGTTTCTATAATCTCTTATACGGCCTAGTATTACTTCTCGTTTATCTTCGAGCCTATTCGTCTTATTGTTTAAGAACGAGATTCTACGCTTTACGTAAGTCGGGTCGTCTTCTAGATTATTAAGCGGGATGCTAAACCTATCTGCTTTACTATTGCTCCACATAACCTTACTCTATAAGATGTTTTCCGCGTCTGTCACTATACTAGTTACCATTAACTTAAACCGAGCAACGGGTATCTTACGGCCATAAAGTGACACGGTTTTGTTGCCGCCATCCTAGAGAACTGCGCCCTAATTGCCATAATCTCGAGCGATAAGTTTGCCGTAAGCTAGAAGACTAAGCATCTTACTTATCGGACTATATCTACCATCGGCTAGATAACGTTCTCGCGTGTCGAGAAATCTTCTGTCGTCATCCTTACCCTAATAGTCTCGTTCGGCCGACGGTAGTATTACCTTAACTGTAAAGATGCGTATGCAGTATACCACTCTAGCTAGCATGTATAAGAAGTCGTTCGCTTTATAGAGTCGACCTATCTCCTCGTTAATGCTAAGTATAGCCAGAAAGTGCAATAGTCTACTACTAAAGACATCTCTACGGACGGTAATAAAGATAAAAGACTTAATAAGTCTAAGTAGAGTATCCATTCTTATACTGTCGTCACTATGCGGCGTCTGCATTAAGCTCTATAGTTCCTTAGCAAGAGTCTTTTAATTATCCTTCTACAGGAATAGTCGGTAAGCGTCTGCTATATAGTCATTAGTTGTTACGCCTTCCTGTTCCTCGCTAGTGTAAATAGTTATGTCATTCGAAGTGCTACTGTCCGAGTCGTCGTTATCATTACTGCTGCTATCGCTGTCGCTTCTAGCGTTACTACTCTCGGTGTCGTAGACAGAACTACCATCTAAAGCTCCTCTAGTTCGGTCTAGCTAACTACTTGCAATTTCAGCTTAACGAACGTAATCTCTACGTTTATGCTTAGCTTGTCTTTAAACAATTCTTATAATGTAGTAGATGAATCTCTTCTAGTAGCTAGCATAGCGAAGTTAAGACTCGGGATTTTATAGCCTTAAAAGCGGTCTAACATTAGCCTTAGACCTCTTTACACTTCGTAGCCATTAACGGGTTTCTAGATCGAGTGTTACTAGACTAGTAACGCATTTCTCGACTAGCAATTTAACTAGTCTTAAAACGTGCTATAGTTCTTATTCGTCTTTATTAGCTAGCCGACTTCCATTCGAGAGATGTCTAAAATTACTTCTAGCAAGATGCTACGGATATCTAGTACGCTTAGACTAGAGCGAATAATCTGCTTTTACAACATTGCCATTAATAATCTCGAGATCTCTATCGTGTTACATCCTTACTATGTTCCATTCGTCTAAGATTTATAAAGTGTCGAGATCACGCTGTTATCTTATTATAACAGTATCTCTAAGATTGTTGTTTAAGACTTATGAACCTTCTATAATGTCGTCTCCCTTATAGTTAATAGTAAAGTACCGTTATCGACCGCCTATAGAAGAGAAAGACTGTACGTAGACAT